ATTTATTTATTTGTGAATATTCGAATAATTTTTATTTGAATCCAAGCACTAAGACAAGCTAATATTTAACTCATTGTAAAAAACATATAAGAGATATTATTTTTTTCTGAAATATATATCATAAATATATGAATAAATAAAAAATGATATATTTCTACTCAAAAAAAAAAAGAAATATACTATTGTATTTATATAAATTCATCTATTAGACATTAACTTGTACAAGTAGTTGTTGTTATAACAAATTACAATTAATTTATATTTTAATATAAAAACGATAATATAATAATAGTAAACTTATTATTTAAATATTTAATTAATGCCTGTTTATAATAAAACAAAATAAATAATATCAAAAACTTGTATTTCATTTATTTACTGTATCTAATTTATAATATTTTATGCTTTATTATTATAATCAACATTTATATTTAATTTCAATTACTGTATGTCTAAAAACATTAATTTAACCAAAATAATTTTTTTTTTTGATAAACATCATACATTGATTGATGGTTCATTATACAGTAAGTATTTGATATACAGTTTGACGCGATTATAAATTTATGTTTAAGAAACATTTTATTCCAGGAATAGCCTTAAATGGTTTAAGCATCTTAGCGTTCCCATGATTATACAATGTTTGTTATGTAAGGCAAACGTTTCGATCGAATTTAAAATTTCTGAAACAAGTATCCTAATGCTAGGGAAAAAGGTTAACAAATGATGTATGATACTTCATTAAGATGCTAACATCTGAGGTGACAGCACAAATGATACGTGTATCTCAGATGATGGATGAATACATAAACACGTAATTATTTTATACAAACTCGCTGTATAGTTCTTTGGATCTTTAATAAATCTAAATCTTAATTTGATAAAACTCGTTGATATCACTTCCAAAGTCTGATAATTATGTAATTATAAAAGTCAAACGAAGTTTGATAGTGTTTCACTTTTTACAATAACCTGCCAGTGTGTGTGTCTCGTAATTTAATTATATAGGGGAGGTTTTCCCATCTCTTTAGAGTAGCGTAGATCACTTTCGAAACGATAATACAAGATGACAACGACAGAGATGACGGATAAACGACGAATATCATCCGAGAAAAGGATTAATGGCGAATCCACTTTGATTGTCGAGAATGCAAATACACTGGGGGATGGAGATCTCGAAAAGATTCATGTAGAAGGGGAGTTGATCGAAGCGGAGAATTCATCAATCCCCATGGTCGCGGCGGTAATCTTTAGTCAAGAGAGAAATTTTTGGCATTTCGATCTACATTGATCAAGCGACAACTTTTTCAATAGGCTGTGAGCACGAAAGACGATCCAAAGCTACCGTGTTTAACATTTCGGTTTTGGGTTTTAAGCACT